TTCTACAATGATAGGTGATGCATTTTATGCTTTTGTGTGGGGAGGGCCAGTTTAGGGGACCCCTCCTGTTTGCAGCTCATGTTTGACACCTTATCTGGTAGTAAGAACACAGTTTGAAACTTTTGTGCTGCTGGGGGCCTGGCTTGTTGTTTCAAAGCTTGCCCCTCTTTCTTACCATGATGAGTTTAAATTTTCATGTACAAGTTACCACATCAACTTTAACGTCAAATACTTTTGAAAAAGAAGGTACAGCCTATTGGAAAAGATGGTGGAAACAGTTACATCCCAGGCTTGGAGCTTATGGAAGCTGATCAACTGTCTAACAGTTTCAGTCTGTCTTTAGATAATTTTGCTTTGGCATCCCCATTGCAGAGTGGAGGAGGCTGTTTTGTAACCTGATCTTTTTTGCAGAGAGCACAAAGCTGACTGAGGGACAATAGAGAGCATTTGTTGAGGGCTGGAATAAAGTCTCAAGGCTGCTGTGCTCCACCACATATGTCAAGCATTTGCCAGAGTTACTTTTTAAAATATGTTGTCTTGCCCACGTGATTCTAAAAATATATACCTAAAGAGACCTGCAAACCTTGAGGGAACTAGAGAACAGGCTGCAGTTATACACACCCAGTACGCAAGATCATGGAAATACAACCAAAGACCAAAGCTGTATAAAGGAAGACATTAGAGCTTTCTTATCAAAGCAGCTTTTGATAATACACTCAGGAGAGAAATAGGAAAGGCATCAGAAAACAAGAGTCCCAAGGAGACTGCAGAGGCTATAGAAAATGATTTAATAACATTGGTGGGTCAGATAGAATTATTCCTTATTCTCCTAGATTTTTCTTTCTTTTCCCTTTTGAAATTCACCTTTCAAAAACCTTACATGGTCATCTCTACCTGGCCAACTCAAACTTAGTCTTCTGTTTGGACACAGTTTATCTGCACCTGTTAGAGTTGTTGTCTTCAGTTGCTCATTGTGTGGCCTCTCACTCTGACTAGGCTCTAAGCTTACTAAGATAAAAAAACATGTCTTTAAAATCTTCGGAATTTCCTCTATAGTTTTAGTACAATAATTGTGTCTGTAGGTAGTGCTTAATGAATATTGCCTAACTCACTGGATACTTTCAGAGTTAAAACTTAATAGATATTCAACTTTGACTTTACTATTAATATTTACATGCCATATTCTGAAAAATCTGTAGAAGACCAGATAAGATAAAAGCTGGAGGAACAAGTTGTAGATACAATAGTGGGAACGCAGAAGACATTTAATAATATCTTGACATAGATCATGAAGAGAAGAGTTATAACGATACAACGACTTTACATTTCTTTGGGAATTGATTCTGCCAACAGCACTTTCATATAGTAACAAACAGTGGGATAAAGGAAAAAAATAGAAATAAATGCAAAGAATACCAAAGAAATGCCAAGAGAAAAAAGTGAAAGAACAAAAGAAAAGCAAGAAGGTCAGAAGTAAAGAAATAGAAGGAGAATTTACTAAGAACTTGAAATAACTGTTGGCTAGGTTACACACTGGGCCATGTCTGATATTTACAATGGGGGTGTTTTTTTTTAGCAGGCAGAGTATATGCTGTTTATAGATCATGGCATGTTTTTACTTGTTTTCTACCAGGTGATGGGGGAGGAAGTGTCCTGAAGCCTCTTTCTCTCCATTTTCCTTCAAGAGGGTTTATATTGATATTAGTCTATCCGTCTGTACTCCAGGGGTCCTGTCTTCATCATCAAAAAGATACGGAAGTGTGAATGATACTCAAGTTTGGTAGCTTATTTCAGCAATTCCACAAAAACTTAGTCAGGGTTGCTGCAGAGAGTTCTGTCACTGTTTGTTCTTGCTGTAAGTGTCTGAAAATTTCCTAACTTCCAGAGGCAGGTCTCTAATTAGTCAATAATGCTGAGTGTAGAGATGTATTATAGAGAAGGTCTAAAAAGAAGAACACATCCCAACCATGTTCTAGGACTGAGCTGCTTTTCTGTCTAGAAATAAAACAGTACAGGTTATAAAGTTCTGCCTGTCACATGTCAGAGGTCTTAAAAGGTCCTACAGTGACCTTAATTACTGCTGTAGAGGGATGAGCTGCATATTTTAAAGAAGGTGATGCTTAAACAAGGTGACCTGCCACAGCACTCCTGAGGCGGCAAGCTTCTCTTTGTTTGGGGTCTGTTTTGTTCGGACGTTACATTCTCTTAATTTGGTGGGCAGGTGACCCATACCAAAATGTCAGGATTAGTAAATTTTTGAAGACAGGTTCAGAAAAAGATACAAGTGATTGTGAAGATAAAACATATCAAATCCCTAGTAACTTTTGCCTGTATCAAAATGAGAGGAGAGATTCTCTTGAATTAAATTTGCTTTCTGTTGAGAATACTAGCATGGAGACAGAGTTTTATTTTAATTGCAGCTGTTTGCAAGATGTGGAGATCAACACCTGTGTTGTGGCAATAATTTTACTTTTCACATTCGTTTTGAAACAGAGCAGAAACCTCTTTCCTCTGCAGGCTGAAGACCTGGGTTCTGGTCCTAGCACTGGCTCTTAGCTAATGCTGTAGTTCATGGCCAGTTCCTTTAATCTCTTTTCAGCCTCAACTGTAAGAAAGTTTATTATATCAGTTCTTCTTTATAATAATAGTAATAACAACTATTTCCCGTTTGAAAGGCCTGCCAAGTGTTGGGTACAATGCTGTGCCTTTGGCATATGGTATCTTTAAGTCTATCAGTCAACTCTGCAAAGAAGGAATCACTATCATTCATGTTTTATGGTTGAGAAAGCTGGGCTCAGATCCTTGCAGTAATCTGGCCAAGGTCACACAGCTAACAAACGGCAAAGCCAGGATATAAACCTCCATGTGTATGTTCACAAAGCCTCTTCTCAGTCTTCTGTGAAAGTAGAATTTGTGAAAGTGTTTTGAATATAGCAAAATTCCTTGTAAATGCATATTACCATTATTATCCTGATAGACATTAATTAGTTAACATATTTATTGAGTTCCTTATAGATGGTTAGTACTGAGTCAGGTATCATTTTGGAAACTTCATGGAATTAGGTATTTTCCCTAATGTAGTATTGTGTGAGGTGTATTATAAGTACATTTTAACTATTTTCAAACGGTATGGCTTCCATTCTTGGAATCATTAGTTTCTTGGTGTAATATTTCTTTGCATTCTTTTGGAGAAAAAAGAAGCAAATATGCTCATTTAGATTGAATAAATGTTTCAGAAAATGAAAACTGATTGCTTGTAGTCTATCCTTCAGAGCCGACAAATAAAGATCCCTGGAACCTGATAGTTGATAGGAAAACTCCAAAGGAAATTTATACTATAGGAATTAGCAAATCTCTGCTGAAAATGCATGTGCTCACAAATGTTCTGGACCAACGTAACGTCCCCTGTCTTGTTCTTTATTTATTTTTTGAGTCTTTAATGACCAATAGGGTTGTTGAAATTTACTTGGAGAGTCTATCCTTGATGCGGGGCGTCAGACTTCCTGCATGAAGGCGACTGGGTTCCACACACAGCTTTCCTAAAATAAGCACTAAGTTTTGGAAAGAATTTTCTCTTGCGGGAAACATCCTATTTCCAAAGAGAGCCCCCACCATGAGGTAACGTGTTTTCTGGGGAGGAAGACGAGGGGAGCCAGCTGGTTAACACTGAGACAGACGCCTTCCTTCTGTGCCCTGTCTTCTCAAAGAGCCCCTTGAGTCACAAAGTCCATGAAATCTATGCAGGAAGCAGCCGAGCCCAGAAATGAGCTGCTCCTTAGTTTCCTGGTATATTAACTGCAGACCAAACACCCACCCTGGGAAGTTGTGAGGACTAAATGACCTGATGCATGCATGTCTCCCCACACAAACCAAACATCACTTTTGCATCCTGGGCCATTTTCCCTAACAAGCTTATCCAGTTGCTCTTTAACTCCCCCTGTGAACTCTTTATGCTGTTAGGCCACAGGAGGTCTACTGGGTTAAGAAAAATGCTTTCAAATTGTGAAAAGACGAGGAAGCTGCCTTTCTTGGTCTTGCCAAGGTTCTACATGCAGTGGGGCGGCCCTCATCCAGGTTTGGTTTGAGCTGGATATTAGTCCTGTTTTGCTCCGAGCATTACAGGGATAGAGCTGAGGCCGCTGGCTGGCTGGCCTTTGGCCACCTCAGTGGGATGCATGTGGGGCTGCTGACTGTGGTGAGGTGAGAGAGGGTGGCCATTGTCTTGTTCTCTCGTCGGGCATTTTGGTCGCGTTTGAGTCTCTGCTGGGCTAAGGCAGAAGCTAACCTGGGGAACAGGACCACTGCATGTCCAGGCTTGGTTTTCCTTGGTGCTGAGCCTGGATTTTGCTGAATCTGAACAGATAGGATTGAGCAAATTAAGCTAATTATGCAAGTGATATTTGTAAGAAAAAAAGCTGGATATTAGCCCTGTTTTGCTCTGTGACTTTGTCACATTCTTTCTGGAGTAGAGGAACAAGGGGGAAGCCTAGCATCATCCATGTAGCCCCTCCAGCCACAGCTAGTCAGAACCCTGTACAGACCTAGCGGCTAAGAGGCTGGCCAAGTATGTGTCCAGGCCCCTGTGCACAGCACTCAGGCCTGGGTGAGGTGCTTTGCTTACAGTGCCCGTCAGGGTCATCCTGGCACTTTGAGAGGCATAGCTGGCGGCTTAAGTTCTGAAGCCTCAACTTGGGCTATGTTATACTTGTGGCTCACTTTATGTGTGTGGGCCTCAGTTTCCTCAGGGTGAGGGTATCTCCAATCTGGGTCTCAGTGCAAACAATTTTTGAGTTTGTGGTCTGTCCGCCTGTGGCATGGAAGTGTGTGTGTGTGTGTGTGTGTGTGTGTGTGTGTGTGTGTGTTCCCTTGCAGGCCCTGGTTCTGGGCATGGAAGTGTGTGTGTGTGTGTGTTCCCTTGCAGGCCCTGGTTCTGGGGATGTGCCTCCAAATTGTTCTTGGCCCCTCTCTTGTTATCCAAATGTCTCTGCAAAAGATCAAGATTAAGTCTGAATGGATCATTGTTTCTTATAAGATAAACAACTGCTGATAAAGTCAGGGGAGGACCTACTTCCGAAGCCTACAACCAAGGAAAAGTTTATGGCTTTCTCTTTGGACTTAATCAGTTTTTCTTCTTTGAGCATGTTTTATGGAACTTGACTAATCACCCTGGCAATATGTTGCCAAAGTTTTCTTGGCTCCAGATCAGAGACTCCGATATACCAGCACAGACAATGAGAAAGCAGCAGGAGGCCGGAGAAGGCATTTGCAATGAATTTTGGCATCAGATTCTAATACAAAAGTAGAAAAGGATTGAGATAATTAATTTCTGGGAGAATTGCAAATGACCAACACAGGAACAAATGTTTAATTTCCTTACTAATGAAAGAAATGCAAATAAAAATAACTGCTATCATTTCCCCCTATCATTTTGGCAGAAATGTAAATGTTTAAGCCCCATATGCCTGTGAATGTGAAGAAATGAGCACACTCATGTAGCTACCTGATACAACCTCTTGGAGGGCATGCACACTGAAATGTAAAACATATTGTCTCTTTTCCCAGTAATTTTCAGTCCAGGACATACCCTAAGGAGATAACTACCTGAATGTAAAAATATGTATGCAGGAACATATTCAGAGGGAAAACTGAAAATAACTTCAATGTTCATCAATAGGGGACAGACAGTCAATTACGGCAAGTGCCTTTCGGGAAATCCTGTGTAGTCAATACAAATAATGGTACAGAGGTTTTATATATGACATGGACAGTTATTTAGGGATGTAAAGCAGGTTATGAAACAAAATGATCACATTTACATAAAATTAACAAAAATATGGGAGGTTTTTCATTCAACTCTTAACAGGTAGGATTTGAGACTACTTTTACTTTCTAATGTAATTTCCAGCTCTGCCGCTTAATCAACTCCATGTCCTTAGGGAAATTTACTTAATCTCTCTTATTCTTGGTAAAAATTGAGATAATAATATCAACCTTTTAGAGGTTACTGAGGGAATCAAGCCATAAAACACATGTCAGGCACCTGGGATGGTGCTTTGATTTTTTTTTCCATTGCTGGTTTCTATTTTACTTTCATTATGTGAGTACTAACAGCTGTGTTCCTATGCTCACGATTCAGAGAGAGAGAGCTAACTGAGCTTTGAATAGCTTCCATTGATTTAAATGTAGGAAGAGCCCTAGTTCCAAATATGTGGAACAGTATTTTCCTAAGGCTGCAGTCTGTCAGAAAAAGGCCATATTGAGTCATTGTTTTCTGAAGCCAGGAGAGGAGATTGAATGACGGATGCTGGTGGTAGCCTGTAATAATATTTCATTCTTGTCATCCTTATATAGTTTAAGACCAACCATGTAGATCTACAGTTTCCCTCCTGGTTTGGAAGAACAAAGCTTTTGTTATTTATGCTCTTAAACAACAGAGCTTTGTCCTACGCTCAGGAGCATGCAAACTGAACAGAAGATCTCCCAAGGGCCATCCTGTTTATTATGAAGAGCGAATCCAAGTGGTCCGTAGGCACGGCTGGCTCCATCCACGTGGAGGGTGCCTGTCATCGTCCTCAGGGGAGGCTGGCCATGGCTCAGGTGCGGCAGCCAGTCAGGTTTGGCATTTACTTCTTTATTGTGCTGAAGTTGGTGGACTCAACCATTTAAAAACTTCCTATTTACTTGGGGCCGTCTTTGTCCTACAAAACAAATAACCTTGTATTACTTTCTGTATCTGAGGCAGAAAAATGAAAATGCTAATATTTTGAGTGTTTTTACCTTGGGGACTTCTGGTTCCTAGTTGTTTCAAAGAGTACTGCATAATTTTTTTTTTTCAGAGCTGATACTACTGTGAAATGGGAGTGGTAATTGGGGCTCAAGAGTTATCAGTGGCTAAGAGATCATTAGAAGAACGCAAATTAGGCTGTCTCTGCCCTGTATCCCTGTACTCATTTCTCTTTCCTCTCATGAAACCAGCTCCTGGCTTGCTACCATACTGCCATGCCCACATGCAACTTGCACTTAGCAGAGAGTCAAGTCTAAGTAGGATATATGAAGTTGGGATCAATTTTGATTCCTACTAATTATAGGTTGTTAAGTATAGAGCACTTGTAATGGGCCACGCTTTGTGTTAAGTAGTTTGCATGCACTATCTGCATGCTTCTCAATGAGTAATGCATCGATGACTAGCTTCACAAGCATCAGGGTGCCAGTGAAAAATAGAGATTCCTAGGTACCATTATAGACCTATGAGATGACAATCCTGTGGTGGGAGTTAGGGATCTACTGTTTTAACAAGCACCTTCAGTTATGCTAATACACATGAAGTTCCAGAGCCACTGCCTTATTTTGCAGTGTACATGAGACAAGTGCAATCTGCTCTCCTTCCACACTTCTGATTTCTGTGCTTAAATTCTTAATGGCAAAACAAAGAGAAAGTCATATGGACTGTGGACATGGAGACCCTGTGAGACTGAGACCATATATGCCTCTTACAGATGGTGATTACAGAGCAGTCTCCATAGCCAAACTGCTTTTGTGACATTGAGTATTACCTTTACTGTAGAGGGGTTTCAACAAGTAAGAAACCCTTCCTTGATTGACGGTGGCCTGTGCTCTGGGTCTAGAGAGTGGAGACTCGGGGACTGTAGGGTCAGGACTGCTGTGAGCGGGTGTACAGGTTGTGCCCTGCCAAACTATATATGGTGGCCTTGCATGGAGGAATGAAAACTCAGCACTCTCCTTAGCCCAGGGCTGTGCCTGTGGTGCTGGAGCACTCCTGAGAGGAGAAGGTGACTGATATGCTGTGTGTTTCCCAGAGCTCAAAGAGCCCTGCCTGACTTTTGCATGTCTGGTGTTGTACTCCAACGGGCCTGAAATGTTCAATGTGATTAGTTCTTTGGTTCTCAGCTTTATTTCTAGAAAGCCCCTATAAAAATGAAAGGCCGCCAAGAAGATAACAGAAGCATTTAATCATATTGGCACAGCCTGGCTTAATCTGGCTGCTCTGTGGCTGGCGCACAAAAGGATTCATATGATGGGAGGGGAGGGCTGGCCACTTCGGTGGAGGAAGTTGGGAAAATCAGGAAAACCATATTTTTGGGGGTGAGTGGGCAGAGGTGAAGTGGGTGAGGGGCTAAAGGCAAACTCGACCTGTGTCACAATTCTGAGGGTCACCCTCCAGCACACCATTTTCTAAAAGTCTCCAGCCCTTCCCAGCGTTCTTCTCTTTGGTGAATGACCAGCTCTGAGTGACTGCCCCTCAGTCATAGGCCTGCACTGTAGCAGTGCTGCTGGGCAAGGTCTCAGTGACACAGTGGGCCTGGGAGAGGGACTTCATGTCCAGCTCTGTCGCTGAATGAGTGTAGGGTGAAGGGGGAGATAATCACCCACCTCTGAAATCTGAGAGCCCCGTCCCTTGGCATTCCTCTGCCAGGATCAGGATCATTAGAATAAGTGAGACTTAGCTTAGCACATTATACTCCCTGCCAGGACCCACACGAAGCTTTCACATATGCAGTCATTTCTAGCAATCACGGTGGGCTTCCTTGCATTTCTTTATCAACTTGTTGAGAAAGACCAGAGGTGCTTTAACTTTAGCAAAGAGTTTGTCTGCAGGTCTGTTAAGCCTTAACATTTGATTTTATTTTGGATCTTGCAGAAAGAGTCCCCAGTTTTATTTTATTTTGTTTTATTTCTATTAAGGTATCATTAATATACAATTTTATGAAGATTTCAGATGAGCAACATTGTGGTTACTACATTCACCCATATCATCAACCCAATTTTATTTTTAAAGCATTTTTTGCTAAACTGAAAATGTCCTCCATTTTGCCATGTTATTTGTCCTTTAATGCTATTTCATGTAGTAAGTGGTACTGATTCAATAATTTGCCCAACGGGGGAGTAACCATCTTCCAGTGGACAGGAGGTGGGTTGGAAGGGTTTCAATGTGAAGAAGAAAAGTTTCCTCAGGCTTTGTGGTGGGTTCTGGGGAAGGGCATGCAGATGGAGGGCCACATCTGCAGAAGCACAGCAGTGTGAGAGAGCACGGGCCTCCCCAGAACCATAAGCAGGTAGATGTGGCTGGTAGGAGTCTGTGTAGTTGTGGAGGGGGATATGGGATAAGATTGCTCAGGAGGGTAATGAATGAATGGTTGAGTATAGAGGGCCATTGTCCTTCCCTGGGGCAGCTGTTCCCTCACCCAGCTGATTGTTGTTTCTCTGCACCTTCTCAGTGAGCAGGCTGATGTCTCAGTTACACCCCCCATCATAGGGAGAAAGGGGGATAATCAGCTTCATGTTCTCTCCTGTTTAAGCTGAGAAGTCACCGTGAATTCCAGACCTGGATCCTGTAGCTGGAGAACCAACACAGCTGCTCATGGGAGGCAACTCCCCATCCCCTCTGCACATCTTCTGTGGCTAGGGTACCATGACACAAGATTAATGGCTTCTATTATTAATGGCTTCACGCAGGAATCTTTGGCCTGAACTTACCAATGATCAAATGAATTGTGTCTACTACAAAGACCCCTTCCTGTGTCATTTCCTGGGTTAGCGCCCTGGGCTGACACACTCCATGCAGGGCAGGGTTAGGAGTATCAGGTGATAACCAGGCAGAACATGCATGATGAGGGGACTGGCACTCCACCTTGGGCTATTTTCCCAGAGACCTTCAGACAAAATCTTATAAGTATTACCTGAAATGAGCTATGTGATGTTAGTAGATGCATTTCAGCATACCTGGCTGTTTAGTAACTCACCTCCAGTTTGGATACTGTGCACATTTATTGCAATTAGTTTAGTGATGATGGTGACAGTTTTTTCTTAATGAATACTCACCATGCAAAAGGCTCAGTTCTAAGTGCCCATTGCCCATCCAATCTTCACACGAGCACCAGGAGGTGATGACTATGTGGCACTATTTCACATTGATGTGTAAAACTGATGCATAGAGCTGTTAAGTAACTTGCCCAATCCCAAGGGTCAGAGCTGGGATTTGAAACCAGGCAGTCTGGCTCAGGTTTATGCTCTCAACCTCCATGTCCTAATACTCACACATTGCTTGCAACAAAGAGGTGGTTTTAGCATCAAAGATGAGGATTGCAACCCCCATCCCTAGTTCATAGTAAGAATGTTTCTCTTACTTAATGTAAGTCATTGTCAGTTTTTACATATGTATTCTCCTATGGCATTTGGGAAGCACTGACAGAGTAAGGCCAAAGGGAAATGGATCCTTCTGTTCAGGTCTCATTACCTAGAAGAGTTTTGAATATACATGAGTGCAAAAGGTTGTTTATGCTGATTTTAAGTGTAATATATTTTAGAGTCTTTTCACATGTATTATGAGCATGTTTTCATAATTCATGTTTTAAGAGAGATTGAATTTTAAAAAGACCCATGAGACCCACTAACTAGACATTCACTCCATGTGCCAACAGCAAATATGAGTTGGAGTCTATGTGCCCAGGTAAGTATTTTGTTACCTGAACCAACAACATAAACTTCATCCCTATGATGACTATAGACTCACATCTCTAGTACTTTTATGCCTTTGTATTTAAATGAAAAAAATTTTTTTTGGTTTGTTCAGGTGAAGCAGGTCTTCTTGCTGACATTTTTAGGGTAACTATTAGTCTTTGGTTTACACCCCAAGATGCTGACTCCGCAGCATTTCAACTGTCAGCTTTCCCTACCAGTGAACTGGTCCTGAGCTCTAGGGTTTCTTCAGGTAGAGTCTAGCATTGTGAAAATAATGGGACTATTTGCCCTCATCACCCGGAATGGAATTAATACCCTGCCAGTCTCAACTGGTTTGACACAGTAACGTGGAGAGTCTGAACATTTCTGACAGTTTTCTCTTGAATGACCCTTTTGGGTACATAAACTGCACAGTCAGATTAACTTATGGGCCTAGAAATAAATCATTCTTGGCCCAGGTTCAGGGACAGTTTTCAGTCAACCATAGCTGCTCTGATTCTTAAGATTTGTTGACACTTCTTGGTTCAGAAAAAGGTTTGCATTCCTGGGCTGCTTTTCCTTTATCGAGATCATTTTAATTCTTGTTTGGGAGGGTGAGATCAAGGAAATGAGTAAGGACTGAATTTAGCTATTTGGGTGACCCTTGTATACTGTGAACTTCTTAGATAGCACCAGATCCCATAGCCAACTGATACCAGTTGGTGGTCCACAGGAGAGAGTGTTTCTAGCCAGAACCTGCTAACACAAGCCCTGATGAGCTGAGAATGAGGTCAGTTACAAGTGGACTCTTAACACATTGCACTGACAGTTTTAGGCAAGAGATGACAGTGTTGGTATGTTTACTTTTTAGTGTCCTCCTTTGCATTGTTTTCAATCAGGTAAAGAAAGCAAGCGTGAACAGCATAATCAGCTCCTGGTGGGTCGTACTGAGACATCACTCCCTTTTCTCAGTGCAAGGTTTTCCCTGCTAGGTGACACCTCCAGGCACTAAATACCCAAGTCTCCCCAGAATTGCCAGGTAGCAGTAACATGTCACAGGCCTTCACAAATACTACGATTGTAGGAGGATCCCACTGTGAATATGTTTTGGGGTGAATATTACCTCCTAACAGATGAACAGCTTGAAGCTGAGCCAAACCTTTAGTATTGTAAGGGTCAGAGAGCCAGGGGTCAGTCTGTAACTTAGCTATGTTGACACAGAATGTACAGAAGCCATGAAAGCTTCTAATAGGAAGACTTGCTTATTGGCCATTGTCTTGGGTGGAGAGATGGTTGTCTTCCAATTTGTTGGAGGTGAAGTCTTTTCACGGGAAATTGCTGGACAGGAATATAGGTGAAATGACTTAAATGCCTCAGTTTAGAGTGTTCTTGGCCTTTTCTACTGACATGGAGACTTGGACATGGGAATTCAAGGGCGTTTCAGTGGCATTTTATGAAGAGAATGAGACGAGAATGAGAAGTTCCATCTGTTGAACATTCAATGCCAATATTATCTTTAAGGGTTTGCTTTCCATTTCAGACTAGGTAATCATGTTATCTTTGAGTAAAGGGAACAATTTCAACCACCTGGCTTCCTCAGAAGTTTTGGTTATCACACAGTCCTGTAGGCAGCCGTGTGGTCAAATAAACAAAGGCTTAATTAAATAAATATTTACACAGAGGAGAAATCCTCTTCTCTGGCTTGTCACAAATTGGACAATTCACAGTACAGACCTCAGTGGGGAATTGCCAGTGGATTCCTTTTCTGTTCTCTCTGTCCTGCTGTCTTTCTTCTTCTTGTCAAATCTCATGTTGAATTCAGTCAGTTATCTACAGCAAACAAAAAGTGCATAAATGTCCCTTCTGTTGTTGTCTACATTTTATCACTAAACAAAGCAGTTTTCCTTTTCCAGCTTTTTCCTTTGGGAGTACATAAAAACTGACCTGATTTGAATATTGTAGAGGTCGATAGTCCCTTTGAAAGCACAGTGACTGATTTAGCTATTTAAAAGCTCATCACAGAGTTTGTTTTTTGTTGCTAGTACTACACTTACAACAAAAGTTGTTGATGAAACACACTATCTGCTAAGGATTTGGAAGAATTTGTTTAAAGTATGTCAGGTACCCAACGGTGTGGTGTTGGGGTGATGTGTGTGTCAGTTGGGTTTATTTGTTTTTTGTTTTTCTGCTTTTCTATTTTAGTCACTTCTTTTGACTTAAAAGCAGTTTCCATGGAACCTTTAATAACTACACATTTAGAAGTATAACAAGTAGTTTGTATAACTAACACTTCAAAATTTAATGGAAAATAAGGAAAATATTGCAAGGAAACAAGAAAAACCAGCACCACTGGGGCTGTCAGCAATCTCTTCCGTCCCTCTCTGCCCCCACCCCATCCCAGCAGGGTGCTTTCTGGTACATACGTGGCCTGGGGCCAAGGGACAGAGGAGCTGGGTGACGGCCTGTTTTCCCAGTGCTGTCTGGGCATTGTTACTCCCTTCACGATACAGGAAGCATTTACTTGTGCCCATGAACGGCCTCTCTCGGCCCTGCCTCCTCCCCCGGTGTGCTGGTTTCTGTGGGTGGGTGGGAAGGCTGCCCGTCTGAAAGGGCGGCTCTAAATCTGTCCTGGAAAATGACCTCTTTTCCTCCACAAAGGATCATTTTGGTTTCAAGGTTGTTTCAGGTACCTTAAGCCTCCCTTTGCTCATCCTTAATAATAAACGATCCTACAAAAGATTAGAGTGAAAGAAGGTAAAATAAGATTGAAGCAGACATACATGCCTGAGTGACTTCATATATATAATCTGGACTCAGCATTACCCCTCCAAAAAGAAAAAGATGGAAATCACCTCAGGCTCCTGCTGCTGCCGCCGCCCTCCAGCTCCGGGGCCTCTCGGTCCCTCAGTGCTGGCACCGTTGCCCCTGCCACGCCAGAGGAGCTCTTGCTGCAGGCGTAGGTGGGTTTCCCTGGGTCATCTGTCCTGCCCTCAGACAACGGAGCTGTGATTTTTCCTTGGTCTTGTGAGGGAAAGGGCTTCAGATAAGCAGATTATTGTGTGGAATATCTCATCTTTGTTATTCCAGTGCAGCCCTTTCAGCTTTCCAGAGCCAGTTAGACTTGTTATGAGGAGCTAAATGATTGGCTGGATCTGGGGCTCAGTTTCATAAATTATAGTCCCAAGTACGAGAAGCCCGAGTCCTATAGTTACCGTCATCCAGAGGCCTGCGGTTCCTGCTTTAACGCACATGTAGTCGTAACTGCGTTCTAACACGGCCTTGGATGTCTCTGTCCCAAATAGCTGACATTGCACCTTCAAGACTGTGTGAGTAGTCATGACTTTTTTTTTAAACTCAGTATATTAATTACATGCCCTGAGAGGGAGTAACTGTAGTTTGAAAATAGTGAATTAATAAATGATTCATTTTCAAGGGGCTGTGCTATCTGTATCAATTTCAATGCAATAATTCTTAACGCTTCCAAGACCTGGCATTCCAAGTTCCAGCTTTTTGCCATGAATTGCAGCCAAGTTACATTTTGAAGGAGGCTGTTCAGGGTATATGCTAGCCCTGTTTGTTTTATGGGGTCTGTAAAGTGATAAAAGTCCGACACCAGCAGGTTAAAGCAGGCTGCTGGTTGTCAAAGCAACGTTTGAGAAAGCGCCGGAGTCAGGCAAGTTTCTCGCTTTCCCACCCCCACCGTCTAAAACTGGAAGGCAGCAGCAAGTGATAAGCAAATTTTGGGGACACAGGTACACAGCAGTTAGAGTGCAGAAAAAGGAGAAATGTAAAATGATGGCAACAATATTTTTCTTCGCTGTCATCTGAAGCTGACTTAAGACATAGCCTATGGTTTACGAGAACATTTTTATATGTATAGAAATGCTTCAGAGTGGTTCTGTTTCTGTGGCAGAGAGCTGAATGAGAAATCACTAGCTTGTTTTTAAAAGCCTTAGAAGAAGCACGTTAAACATACACAGACACAACCATAACAGAAGAAAGTACGTGGGTTGGAATTTTTAGTTGGAGCCGATCGAATCATCCTAGGGGAGCCACTCTTAGGTTTGTAATTGCTGAGGTGACTTACTTCTGTTGCTAACAAGGTTTAAGATAAAGCTGGAGCAGATAGAAATGAGGAACTAGAAAACACCAGCCTTCTGTTACCTTTGCAGGATAGAATTAATACTGAGTATAGATTGGTTAGGGGAAGCAGTTCACCTTTTCACTTTGAAATCATTGATGATTTCTCTCAGCCTGTCATTAAAAAAAAATAGGGCTTTTGCCTATGAAGTTCATACTTAGAAATAAATGATTTTTCTTACCTCCAAACAGTTTTTATACTCTCAATACAGTACAAAACTAGGTAATTTATAATTTGGGGTTGTTTCCTAGTTTTTTTGTCTAATTTTTCCTCTTTCAACATATAGATACAAATATATATATTTGTGCTATGTGTAAGCCTCAAGCATAAATTACCAGCTTTTTCCTTTGGGAGTACATAAAAACTGACCTGATTTGAATATTGTAGAGGTCGATAGTCCCTTTGAAAGCACAGTGACTGATTTAGCTATTTAAAAGCTCATCACAGAGTTTGTTTTTTGTTGCTAGTACTACACTTGCAACAAAAGTTGTTGATGAAACACACTATCTGCTAAGGATTTGGAAGAATTTGTTTAAAGTATGTCAGGTACCCAACGGTGTGGTGTTGGGGTGATGTGTGTGTCAGTTGGGTTTATTTGTTTTTTGTTTTTCTGCTTTTCTATTTTAGTCACTTCTTTTGACTTAAAAGCAGTTTCCATGGAACCTTTAATAACTACACATTTAGAAGTATAACAAGTAGTTTGTATAACTAACACTTCAAAATGTAATGGAAAATAAGGAAAATATTGCAAGGAAACAAGAAAAACCAGCACCACTGGGGCTGTCAGCAATCTCTTCCGTCCCTCTCTGCCCCCACCCCATCCCAGCAGGGTGCTTTCTGGTACATACGTGGCCTGGGGCCAAGGGACAGAGGAGCTGGGTGACGGCCTGTTTTCCCAGTGCTGTCTGGGCATTGTTACTCCCTTCACGATACAGGAAGCATTTACTTGTGCCCATGAACGGCCTCTCTCGGCCCTGCCTCCTCCCCCGGTGTGCTGGTTTCTGTGGGTGGGTGGGAAGGCTGCCCGTCTGAAAGGGCGGCTCTAAATCTGTCCTGGAAAATGACCTCTTTTCCTCCACAAAGGATCATTTTGGTTTCAAGGTTGTTTCAGGTACCTTAAGCCTCCCTTTGCTCATCCTTAATAATAAACGATCCTACAAAAGATTAGAGTGAAAGAAGGTAAAATAAGATTGAAGCAGACATACATGCCTGAGTGACTTCATATATATAATCTGGACTCAGCATTACCCCTCCAAAAAGAAAAAGATGGAAATCACCTCAGGCTCCTGCTGCTGCCGCCACCCTCCAGCTCCGGGGCCTCTCGGTCCCTCAGTGCTGGCACCGTTGCCCCTGCCACGCCAGAGGAGCTCTTGCTGCAGGCGTAGGTGGGTTTCCCTGGGTCATCTGTCCTGCCCTCAGACAACGGAGCTGTGATTTTTCCTTGGTCTTGTGAGGGAAAGGGCTTCAGATAAGCAGATTATTGTGTGGAATATCTCATCTTTGTTATTCCAGTGCAGCCCTTTCAGCTTTCCAGAGCCAGTTAGACTTGTTATGAGGAGCTAAATGATTGGCTGGATCTGGGGCTCAGTTTCATAAATTATAGCCCCAAGTACGAGAAGCCCGAGTCCTATAGTTACCGTCATCCAGAGGCCTGCGGTTCCTGCTTTAACGCACATGTAGTCGTAACTGCGTTCTAACACGGCCTTGGATGTCTCTGTCCCAAATAGCTGACATTGCACCTTCAAGACTGTGTGAGTAGTCATGACTTTTTTTTTAAACTCAGTATATTAATTACATGCCCTGAGAAGGAGTAACTGTAGTTTGAAAATAGTGAATTAATAAATGATTCATTTTCAAGGGGCTGTGCTATCTGTATCAATTTCAATGCAATAATTCTTAACGCTTCCAAGACCTGGCAGATTGTTCCAGCTTTTTGCCATGAATTGCAGCCAAGTTACATTTTGAAGGAGGCTGTTCAGGGTATATGCTAGCCCTGTTTGTTTTATGGGGTCTGTAAAGTGATAAAAGTCCGACACCAGCAGGTTAAAGCAGGCTGCTGGTTGTCAAAGCAACGTTTGAGAAAGCGCCGGAGTCAGGCAAGTTTCTCGCTTTCCCACCCCCACCGTCTAAAACTGGAAGGCAGCAGCAAGTGATAAGCAAATTTTGGGGACACAGGTACACAGCAGTTAGAGTGCAGAAAAAGGAGAAATGTAAAATGATGGCAACAATATTTTTCTTCGCTGTCATCTGAAGCTGACTTAAGACATAGCCTATGGTTTACGAGAACATTTTTATATGTATAGAAATGCTTCAGAGTGGTTCTGTTTCTGTGGCAGAGAGCTGAATGAGAAATCACTAGCTTGTTTTTAAAAGCCTTAGAGGAAGCACGTTAAACATACACAGACACAACCATAACAGAAGAAAGTACGTGGATTGGAATTTTTAGTTGGAGCCGATCGAATCATCCTAGGGGAGCCACTCTTAGGTTTGTAATTGCTGAGGTGACTTACTTCTGTTGCTAACAAGGTTTAAGATAAAGCTGGAGCAGATAGAAATGAGGAACTAGAAAACACCAGCCTTCTGTTACCTTTGCAGGATAGAATTAATACTGAGTATAGATTGGTTAGGGGAAGCAGTTCACCTTTTCACTTTGAAATCATTGATGATTTCTCTCAGCCTGTCATTAAAAAAAAATAGGGCTTTTGCCTATGAAGTTCATACTTAGAAATAAATGATTTTTCTTACCTCCAAACAGTTTTTATACTCTCAATACAGTACAAAACTAGGTAATTTATAATTTGGGGTTGTTTCCTAGTTTTTTTGTCTAATTTTTCCTCTTTCAACATATAGATACAAATATATATATTTGTGCTATGTGTAAGCCTCAAGCATAAATTGTTTGAACAGTTTTTTTAAACTCAGTGGTTCCTGTGGCAAATATAAACTTCTAATAAATATAGTAATTACTTGCCAATTCCTATAAAGATATTATTTATATATTCAGGAGCAGTTTAATTTTGGTCGCACCTATTTGAATGACTGACATCATTTAGCCAGTAGGAGAGATATATTAGTTTTGTTTTTGCTTTATGTTTAGATCACACTGGAAATGGAAGTTTTGTTAAAAATACTTTCCTTTCTGAAATATGACCTCTTTTAGGTCACACCAGTGGAAGACGTTCATAAAAGGAATGAGAAATAGTCAAAATGGAATCTTTTCCTGTTTCAACCAAATTTATGTAAAACAGTTTTAAAGAAAAGCAATTCTAGTATATTCTTTTAGAAATTTACCTTATGAAGAAATAGTATGACTTCCTTTATTGAGATAGAAGAGTGAGTTCGTTTATTGAGTCTCTGTAGCCACAGACACTAACAGTAATGGTTGGTTCATTGGTTCTGCCTTCCTAACTGATAGTATTAGTGAAGAAAGGAATGTGTCTGTGAAAGGAATATGCTCTTATCCCTCCAGGTGTTTGGGATCCCATGCAGAGGAAGAAGCGGTGGTGACAGAGGGTGCTTTCTGTGGGTGGTGATGGAGGGTGCTTTCTGTGAACTAGCTTCTCACTGCTAAGCCGGCTTCTCTTGTAGGGTCAGTGTAGCTTTCCTGCTGTACCAGTAGCATTCCCTCCCACCTTTCCTGCCTCCATTCTGTATATTAACTTGCTTGGGCTGTTACTGAAATAAGTCAACTAAAAATAACTCCTGCTTTACCAAACTTTAATGGGAGGCTCATTTAATTTAGAAGTTGTATAGGACCAGGAGCCTAGGGCCGGGAGAAATTCTGCTGGTTGTGTACTCGGAGCATCAGCATCTTGCACTGGGGCGCCTCTGCGACCCTCGTCGTTCAGTCCCCCCTGAGCTGCCAGCCTCTCATCGCATTCTGATGAAAGGGCAGGATACTAAGAAAAGCAAGAGGAGAAGCGTGCCAGGCGCCCAGTGGATACAGAGCTGCAGGCAAGACATTGTGAGAAGAGGAAATAGCTCCAAAACAGCAGGAGCTGATGGGTCTTCTCTCCACTCTTGATTTTCTGAAGCCATTTTTGTCTGACTGTGGAAGTTCCTTTGCAGA